GTGGCTGATTCAAACAACCCTTGTTTAAGGGTTTCTATGAAAACAGAGCAACAGCAGGACTAGGCGTGGGGTAGGTCGAGTAGGTGGGCGTTGGCCCGTTCAGCCTCTGGTCACAGTTTGAAGAACAAGAGGACAGACCCGCCTCTGAGCAGGGAGACTTTCCCCCCTGGGTTTAGTGGAATCCCAACTCTGCAAACATTTGCTCTGCTGCTTCGTTTTCTTTTTTCTTTCCTCTTTATCTGTTTTGTTCTGTTTTTAAAAAGTATTTCATTTGATTTATTCAGTCACTTTGTTTTTTGTTTGTTTTGTTTGTTTTTTTTAATTTGACCAGAGAAAGACACACAGAGAAAAGGAAAGTGAGAAATCAAGCCACCAAGTCTGGGATTTGAACCCTGGTAGACCATGTGGGAGTGTCCAGTGCCTTTACCACCATGCCACCTGCTGGACCCCCTTGTTGTTTTTTTTTTAAAGAAGTTTTTGTGTTAGGGTGGGTGTGTTACACAGTGAGAATAAAAGTGAGAAATCACCTCCCAAGTAGGATGCCCACCCAGAAATTCCTTCTCCCCGGATCTTGGACACGCACACACACACGCACATACCTGGCGTAATTTTCAAGTCACCAGGTTTGGGTCTTGAACCACTGTCAGCCATATGGGAGTCTAGGGACGTAACTGCTATCCCATTTGCTAGCCCCGCCTTTCTTTCTTTCTTTTTTTTTTTTAGTTTAGCCATGGGCATATGCGATTGCCAGAAAGAGAGAGGGAAAGTGAAAAATCACCCTTTTCTTCCATTTTTTGGGGGGGATTTTGGTCATGCACACACATGCCAAGGATGGTTCTTAAGCTACTCTATTCAGGACTTAAATGTCACAGTGGGTCATGTGGGATCCAGCACCTGAACTTCCACATCACCAACTGACCTTCTTCTGTTTTCTTCTAATACTTTACAGTTTTACTTTTTAAAATTTTTTCTGCTGAGGCTAGCAGGTGGCTTGGTGGGTAGAAACGCTGGACTCCCACATGGCCAACCGCAGTTCGAGTCCCAAACCTGGCAGCTTGCCTTCTCACTTTCCCTTTCTCTCTCTCTCATTCTCTCTTTCTCACGCACGTGCGTGCTCTGCCCTCTCTGGTCAAATTAAAATAAATAAATAAACAGACAAACTAATTTTTTTTTTTAAAGGCGGGGGGAGAAATCCCAATTGCAATGTGCCATTCTTTTTTTTTTTTTTAAAAACTTTATTTATTATTATTATTATTTTCCAGTTTGATCAGAGACAGAGAAAGGGAGAGAAGGAAAGTGAGAAAGCAAGCCACCAGGTCCAGGACTCGAACCACAGTCGGCCATGTGGGAGACCAGAGCCCTTAACCATCACGCCACCTGCCGGCCCCTGAGACAAATTAAATTTAAAAAGAAAATTTTTTTTTCTGCTATAGGGTGTGTACGCTCCCTGGAGAGAGACTCTGTGTGAGTGTGTGGGTGTGGGTGAGAGAGAGGTGTGAAAGCACCCCCAGAGGCAATGACCATGGCACAATCCCCTCTCCTCCATTCTCTTCTCAGGATTTGGGGCACTCGTACACATATACCTGGTGTGTTATTTTAAGCTACTGGACCAAGCCTCGAACCACATAGTTGGCCGTGTGGGATCCTGTTGCCGTTTTTTTTTTTTTTTTTTAAGCTTTTGCCATAGGGTGCATATGCTCACCAGGAAGAGACAGAGAGATAGTGAGAGGGAAAGTGAGAACTCACTCCCTATGGGGAATGGCCACACTGCAATCCCTTCTCCTCTATTCTCCTCCTGGGATTTTGGGCATGCACACCAAATCTGGGACTCAAACTATGGTTGGCCATGTGATAGTCCAGTGGCTTAACCACCACATCACCTACTGGCTCCTATAGTTTTACTTTTTTTTTTTTTTTTTTTTTGAGGGTTTTTTTTCACCAGGCACGGGCGCCGCGC